ATGGGAGCAGGTGCAGAGACAGCCAGACATTATACAGAGAGTCTGAATTGGAGGTCTCCAACCAGTCCCTCCTTTGGAGCTTGGGGAACTCCTTGGAAGAGGGGAGGAAACGGAGGAGTCAGAAGGGATGGAAGACAACAGGACAGCCACCAAATCAACTAAGCAGGGCTCATACTCAGAGACTGAGGAACCCAGTGAAAGAGAGGGCTGAAATACTGTTGGAGCCAAAGGGTCAAAGACACCACAAGAAAATCCACAGTATCAACTAACTGGGGCTCAGAGGGGCTCACAGAGACTGAAGTGGCAAACATGGGACCTGTATGGGTCTGTGCCAGGTTCTCTTTATATGTATGGCTGTTAGTTTGGTATTTTGTGGGACCAACAGCGGGAGCATATGTCTCTGACTCTTTTGCCAGCTCTTGGGACTTTCCCTCCTATTTGTTGCCTTGCCCAGCCTCACTATGGGGGCTTTTTGCCTTGTCTTATTGTAGTTTGCTTTGTCAGGTTTGTTTGTTGTCTCTTGGAGGCCTGCTCTTTTCTGAAGGGAAACAGAGCGGGAGTGAATCTGGGAGAGAGAGAGGAGCTGGGAGGAGTGGAGGGAGAGGAAACTGTGGTTGGGGTGTATTACATGAGAGAAGAACCTACTTTCAATAAACAAAAAACAGAACATGAAGTTGCATGGGTGGAGGTGGGAGTGAATCTGAGAGGAGATGGGGGTGAATACGAACACAATGCATTCTTTGAAATTCTCAAAGAATTAATACAAATAGAATAACTAATTCCCCAGCAGGCCTTAAACTTTCAATCGTTCTGCAGTAGTCTAGTGAGTAGTTTGGATTGCAGGCCTGTGCCACCAAGCCCAGCTTGAATAAGAAGATTTTAATGGAAACAGGGCAATGTGGAGAGGCAATGGTGGCAGGGGGTAGATAAGGTACTCTTAGGAAGCTTTTTTAAGCAGATGACATTTGAGTTGAGACCTGAAGGGCAAGAAAAAGTCATTAACAAATCTGCAGGAGAGATGTTCCAGGCAGAGAGGAAAACAAGTACAAAAGCCCTGAAGTGAGAAGAACTTCTGGCATTTTCAAGTAACGGAAAGATCCTGGTGGCCTTCGCAAAATAGACTGTTTTCTTGAACGTCAGTAGTAATATGTGGAAAGAGCGCCGTATTTGGAGTCATTAAATCTAGGTTTAGTCTCCATTCCCATTAGCTCTGCAACCTCTGTCAAGTTGCAACCTGTTTCCTCATAAATATGCGATAAAACTGCTAATAAATAATACTCATCTTCCAGGGTTGATGTGAAAATTAAATAAGGTATGAAAAGAGAGCTTGATGAGTTGCAAAATGCTATCTACAATTAGGGGAAATTATTGCATAAAGTATTATTGTGAGATCTGTGGCTGCAGCAGCTATTTATAGTAGCTTTTCTTGTATCTACTTCAGTCTCTCTCTTTTTAAAAATATTTTATTGGTTACTTTGTTTATTTACATCTCAGATGTTATCGCCCTTCCTGGTTTTCTCTCTGAAAATCTCCATCCCACTCCCCCTCCCCCTGCCTCTACAAGGGTGCTCCTCCATCCACCTGCCCACCTACCTCACCACCCTAGCAACAGATGCTACAAGCCAATTTGGCCTGTCTATTGCACTGTTCTCTTTCATCTTATATTCCCAGGTACTATGGAAATTATGTTCAGTTTATTTGGTAAATAAATGTTTGCTTATTTTTTAGCTCATTAGAAAGTAGCAACTTGAATAGTCCAAGGTTACTCACATTTTTTTAAAATTGAAGAACTTTCCTTAAAATGAACACTACTGTAAAATACATTCACTCCCTTTAAAGACCTCAAAACTGAGTCTGCAGAGATGGCTCAGTAGTTAAGAGCATTTACTGCTCTCGCAGAGGACTGAGGTTTAATTCCCAGCATGCATGTCAGGCAGCTAACACCCACCTGTGAACTCCAGTTCCAGGACATCCAATACTCTCTTTTGGCTCCCTTGGTCACCAGAACTCATGTGCACACACCCAGACACAGACACATACTAAACCGACTCCTAATAAATTAACATTATATAAATATATCACTAGATCTTTCAACCCTCATCAGAGAATCTCATCATTTATCTACTTTTTGCACTAAAGACTAAAACAGAGACACATATCTGGTTATCATTCAGAGAATAAGAGGTCATGGAGTGACCAGCCCTATATGGGATAATCTATAGCACGTGACTCCCTCTATGGGCTCAGAGATTGCTGTGGAAGAGGAAATAACATAAGAGTCACAGGTGAGGCTACAACAGGGCAACTGCACATATGAAGTCACAGTGGTTGGGATAGCACACTCATGTCCTGTGCAAGATCAAGTTAGACAAAATCCCAGCATGGAGGAAAGAAACAGTTTGGAAGTACAAATCCTAGTAGGAGAACAATTGGCAGCTGTTAACAGTTGAGGCAGGGAGGGCCAGTTTTCTTCAGGTATGTGGTCCCTAAGAAGCTGTCCATGCTCCAGTATATGCACATTTATTTACCAAATAAACTGAACATAATTTCCATAGTACCTGGGAATATAAAATGAAATAGAAGTTGTACATTAATAGAGAAAGTACAGTGCAATAGACAGGCCAAATTGGCTTGCAGCATCTGATGCTACGGTGGTGAGGTGGGTGGGCAGGTGGATGGGGGAGCACCCTTGTAGAGGCAGGGGGAGGGGGAATGGGATGGAGGTTGTCAGAGAGAAAACCAGGAAGGGGGATAACATCTGAAATGTAAATAAACAAAATAACCAAGTGCACTAAGCACTTGCACATATAGACAGCACCAAGTGGACTCAACCGATTTAAAAAACAAGCACATGAAGTTTGCAGAGAGAAGTGGTGGAAATAGAGGATCATTTGCAAGAGAGAAAATGGGGGAGTAGGGGATTAGAGCAGACTGCATTATATGTGTGTATTTATGAAATTCTCAACAAATAAAGAGGGGGAAAACAATGTTAGGGAACTTTCATGCGTTTGTCAAGTCAATTCCTGTATTTTTTCTCACTTCATTTCAGAAGAAAAATTAATTTAACTTCTTATCACCTTAAAAATAAATCTTTAAAGACCTCAAGAATGTTGCTTCATGTCGATAATACTTGTTGGTGTTTCTAGTAAAAGCCCAGATTTTGAGAAATTATCTATAGTATCCAATGTAGGTATTTCACAAATTTAAAATCTTTTTCTGATTGAAATATACGATTTTAGATGGTTTCTTGAAATTTTCATTTAGTTTTATGTTTAGGAAGCAGGCAATGGGGGTTGGAGAGTTGGTTTAGCAGTTAACAACAGCACTTGTTGCTCTTGCAAAGGATCTGGGTTCAATTCCTATCCATACAGATAGTAACTCACAACTAATTATAGGTCCACTGAACCTTTTTCTAATTTCCACTTAAGCCAGAGTGGTTTGATGGATATACAAGTATGATCATTTTGCTCTCCTGATTAAGGCATTCAATAGCTGCAGTATACAGCATTAATTTTTTAAAATGAAATGGAAGGCTTTTGCCATGAATACTTTCTATTCACCCAGTTTTATCTCCTACTATTTTGCCATACACTTTCTGGACTCCTGAGCCTGGAAGTTTGCTTATGCCTCCTCCTCCTCCTCCTCCTCCTCCTCCTCCTCTTCCTCCTCTTCCTCCTCCTCCTCCTCCTCCTCCTTCTTCATATACCCATCTTCTTTACATGGTGGGGAGGGATAATCAACCTCTTTTATCTGAAATTCTAATTATCTTTTCCCCAGAAACCTGGTGTGTGATATGGATCTCAGAAGAAAATGAAGCTAGCTGCATGGGCCATATGTATCTTTTGTCTTTTTTCATGACATTTCTCATTAGTTTATAATGCTTCCACAGAATTAATTCAAGATTATTTGCCTGCCTTGTGTAAAAGGTTTGAAAATGAGCCTGGTGTGGTTATGCATGACTTTAATTCCAGCACTAAAGAGGTAAGGACAGGGGGACATTGGAATTCAAGGCTAGCCTGGTTTACATAGCAAGTTAGTAGCCAGGGCTTCATGAAAAGAAGAGAGAGGGAGGGAGGGAGGGAGGGAGGGAAGGAGAGAGAGAGGGAGGGAGGGAGAGAGAGGTGTTTAAGGAGAGATTTTTTTTTGAGAACACATTAATGAAATTGTACCTTCTTGACTCCAGGTTTTCAAGTAGCATTTATATTTGGAAATTGTTTCCCAGATACTTGTAAACATATTTCTATGGTATTTGGTTTGATTATAGTGCTGACAAAATAATACAAATGTGTCTTTAAATATGCACTTTACTATATAACATGTTCACTTACCATCCACCTAGCAGTTTTAAAATAAGGGACTCTGAAGAAACCAAAGGGAAGAGCTACAAGGAAGCAAATTAATGGAATAAAATATGTGTGTACCCTGAGAGCTCATTGTCCCAACAGCAAAAGACCAAAGGCAAATCAGGAAAATAAAAGGTTTTACAATAAAGGCAGTGACTCTGGCTGATGAAGGCTTCTACAGTGGAAAACTTGTCTGTACTTTAATCCTAAACATTAATGCACAGGGAGAATGAGAGTTATGGAGAGAGTGGAGCATGACATTGAGTTGGAGACAAGAAAGGAATAGAATGACAGACAAGATAGGGTTGTTATATTTACCAAAGCAATACTTGGGGCATAATTATACCAATAATTTGTTATTTATCTGAAATAACATTTAAGTAGGCAATCCTGTATTTTATCTGGGAATGCTAAAAAAAAAAAAAAAGAGAGAGAGAGAGAGAATGACAATGGTAGCCCGAAGTTCTGGGCCGTACAAGAGAAAGCCTGAGTCTCAGGGGAAAAGAAAAAAGCTATACCTAAGCACAGGCATCTTCAGACACAAGCTATTTCCGGTGTCGGACGCGAGCGGGGGGAGGGGAGAAGCAATGAAAGCCGCCGCGGCGCTCAGTCCGCCGGCGTCCCACAATCCTCCTCTCTCGGTTCCTTTTTCCTCGCTCAAGATGGCGCTGCTCGCGATACATTCTTGGCGCTGGGCAGCCGCGGCGGTTGCTTTCGAAAAGCACAAGCATTCGGCAGTTCTGACCCGGTCTCTAGTCTCCATCTGTGGCTCAGGGCCGCGGTGGAGTTCGTACCAGCGCGGCGCCTCAGGAAGCGCTCGGCTGTCCCAGGTGTGTTGCCGCGCGCTTGGGAGAGTAGGGTGAAGGACAGGGGAACCTGATAGGGAAAGGGCTGCCCTCATGACCTTAGGTCAGAGGGAGCACCTGAAGAAAGATCGTCACGGCAAACTCAAGAGTGGAGGCGAGTGTAGGAACTTAGGGCTGGGAACTCGAGGCGGAGAGGAAGAACACGTTTGGGGACAGCAGAAAGCCGGGAGGTTTCAGACACTGGGCACCTGCAGTGCCGGGGTCCTGTAGGGGTTTGCCGGTTGGCTTTCCAGTGTAAGGCAGACGGAGCTGCTTTCAAAAGTTAGTCGTGGAATTTGGTGCTAAACGGTCCGTGCTTCAGATTGTACTAAGTCGGAAGTAAAAAACTGCGAGTGCACTTCAACAGGACAGTACGCCACCTATAAACAAGTAGCACATTTAATTGGTACGTTAACTCCCTCACTGACAGGCGAGCTTCCTCATAGGCAAAACCATAATTATCCTTTTCTCCAAAATCTACACTACTCTAAGACAGAGGCTTTACTAGCTTTTGCTATGACTATTCAATTACGTTCTTGGTGCACTTCCTTAGGAGTGTGGCAGTGATTATGGGACCACAGAATATTGGCTTCCATTAGCTCATTCAACAGTAGTTTGTTTTTAAAAATCGTCTGTAGTACTTGTACTTCAGTTTATATTTTTCTCATATATTGACAATATTTTGATTGCCACCACGTTAAGTATAACTTTAAGATACTGTCATTTTTCTTTGGAAATCGAACAGTTTCTTAAATTATGACTCCCTGCCAACGAATATTTAATGTCTACTACTATAATCTACTACTGTTTAGACAATAGAAGCCTTCAAGGATTTTATGGTCTGGTTTGGTTTTTACAGACAAAGTGTTGTTTTGTAGTCCATTGTAGGCATTGAACATGTGATCCTTCTGCTTCAGCCTACTGAGTACTGGAATGACAAGCATAAAGTGACAAGGATCGTATCGCACGAGTTTTAAAGTTTAAAAATATTTTAAATCGACAAATAATAGTGTATATGAAGTGTGGTGTGATACTTGATACATGTATATAAGCGATCAGTTTAGATTAATTGGTATAGTTTTCATCCTGAACATTTGTTATTAGTATAAAGAATAATATTTTAGAGCTGAAAAGAGCCTTTACTAGAATGCTATGAAATGTTAGTGGTTAGATCAGCACTTTTTTTTTTAGGTGAAATAAAGTAATATAGAAAAGAAACTCTAGGCTTTTTGAATACTAAGGGAAGAATTGTTTTGGGAACTTTTGTTCACATATTCCTACAGTTTATAATTACTGGGATGAGCTCTGAAATGTATTTTTTTGCATTATGTTCTAGAACCATAACCACTAGCTTGATGCGGCCATTAAAATTAAAAATGTTAGTTTCTTGGTCATATTAGCCACATTTCAGGTATGGCCAGGTGTGGCTAGTACCTGTCAACAACATAGATAAAGCTGTTGAACAATATGGTGTTCAAGGATATGATATCTAGCCCTTCTAATTTTGCAGATGAGGAAACTAAGCTGCAAAAATTGATAAGTGTAAAGCCTTCAAGGCTATTCATTCCTTTATTGCTTTCTTTGTGTCAGGTACTTAGGAAATAAGACTCTGGTAGGCACCAAGGACACATTAAATGTTGACTTGTACTAAATTGGAGGATTTTATGTACTATTTTAACAGTATAGTTCATTATACAGCTTCCACTGTACTATATTAGTTCTACTAAAAAGATTTATAAATCACATTGCAGTTCTGGGGATGGAATCCAAGACCTACACAAACTCAGCAAGCATTCTACCATGAGTTTTGTATAAGTTGTAGTTTCCTTAAAACATTGTCTCCTGTAACTAAGGCTGACTGGTCTTGGAAACTTTCTATATAGCCTAGTCTATGTTTGAACTGATTGTAAGGCATACACTACCACACTTCTCTGTATATGACCTTTTTTGACTGTTGCTTTGATTTTGCATTATTTTTAAAGGGTTATTTTAATTATGGCACACGTACATATTACGTTATTTATTGTGGCCAAATAATGGTTTGGATATACAAGGGTTTGTTGTTGTTGTTGTTGTTTTTCTTTTTTAATGGGCTTATTAAGTAGTCTTGGCTGACATGGGATTTGATATGTAGGCCATGTTGTCCTTGAGCTCGTGGAGGTGTTAGGATTAAAGGCATGTGCCACCATACCTGGCATGGTTAGGGTTAGCCCTGAGTTTCTTTTTTTTCTTTTAAGAATGGCTTATTTTTTATTTTATGTGCATTGGTGTTTTGCTTGCATGCATGTCAGTATGAGGATGTCAGATCCCCTGGAAGTAGAGTTATAGACTACTGTGAGCTACCATGTAGGTGCTGGGAATTGAATCCAGGTTCTCTTAACAGCCTGCGCTTTTAACTCCCTCCGCCCTCCGCCACTTAGTTTAATGATTTCTTGCTGTCTACTCCTCTTGTGTGTGATTTCTTCTTTTTGTTGTAGGCCTTTCAGTTACTCAATTAAGTTACTTGTGTGAGAGCTCTCCAATTTTTTAGGTAGGTACTTATGTAGGTACTTTATTCTGTCTCATGTTTTTGGGTGCGTGGTGTTTCATTTTCATTCAACTCTAGAAAGTATCTTTAATTTTTTTTACTTAATTTCTGTCTTGACATGTTCTTTTTAATTCACTAGAGAGTTGTTCAGTTTCCATGAGTTTGTAAGCTTTCTGTTGTTGATATCCAGATTTAATCTGGCAGTAAGATAGGATTCAGGGTGTTATATCAGTATTCTTGTATCTGTTGAGATTTGATTTGTGTCTGGATATGTGGTAATTTTTAGAGAGATTTTCATGAGGTGCTGAGAAGGTAAATTCTTCTGTGCTTGGGTGAAATGTTCTGTAAATATGTTAGGTCCATTTGCTTAATTATAAGTTTAGTTAGCTCTATTTCTCTGTTTAGTTTCTGTCTGGATGACTTGTCCATTGGTGAGGGTGGGGTTTGAAGTTCTTCACTGTCAGTGTGTGATTTAAGCTGTAGCAGTGTTTCTTTTATCAACTTGCATGCCCTTGTGTTTGGACCATAGATGTTAAAATTGCAATGTCTTCTGAGTGGTGTTTGTCTTTCTCTAACTCTCTGATTAGTTTTTGTTTGAAGTCTATTTTGTTAGATATTAAAATGATGACTCCAGCTTTCTTCTTAGGTCTATTTCTCTGGAATATCATTTTCCATTTTTTTTATCCTGAGTTGATATCTTTCCTTGATACTAGGTGTGTTTCTTTGATTCAGCAACAGGATGGATCCTGTTTTTCCATCCATTCTGTTTGTCTCTGTCTTTTTATTAAAGAATTGAGACCACTGACATTGAGAGAAGTCAATAAGCAGTGTTTGTTGATTCTTGTTATTTTATTGTTTTTCTGGTGGTAATGGTGGTGATGGTGTGTGTATATATGTGTATTTGTGTGTTTCCCCTTCCTTAATTTGCTAGTCTGGAATTATTTATTCCTTGGCTTTCTTACACGTGGTTACCCATTTTAGATTGGATTTCCCCCTCTAATGCCTTCTGTGGGAATGGATTTGTAGATAGATATTCCTTAAATTTAGTTTTGTCATTGAATGTCTTTATTTTTCAATCTATTTTGATTGAACATTTTGCTGTATATAGAAGTTTGGGCTGGCATCAGTAGTCTCAGAGTCTGTAGACCATCTGTCCAAGTCCTTATGGCTTTTAGAGTCTCCATTGCTAAGTCATGTGTTATTCTAGTAGGTCTTCCTTTATATGCTACTTGGTCTTTTTTCCTTCTTTCTTTATTCTGTACGTTTAGTGTTTTGATTATTATGTGTTGAGGGGACTTTCTGCTCTGGTCCAGTCTATTTGATGTTTTGTATGCCCATCTTTAGGTTAGGAAAATTTTTAAAAATATTTATTTTCTCTTTTATTGAAAATGGATTCTTTTCTCATCTTATATATCCTGATTACAGTTTCCCTTCCCTATACTTCTTGAAGTCCCTCCCTCCCTCCTTTCCTCCCTCCCTCTCTCCCTCCCTCCTTCCCTCCCTCCCTCCTTCCCTCCCTGCCTCCCATCTGGATCCACTCCCTTTCTGTCTCATTAAAAAGGAGATAGTAAAATATAACAAAATAAAATACAGTAAGATAAAACAAGGCGAACCAACAGAAGGAAAAGAGCTCAAGAGAAGGCACAAGTATTAGAGATCCACTTGTTCACACACTTTCATGAGTTTCATAAAAATACTGAGAGCTGTAACACATATACATAGGTCATTTGCAGGTCTTGAGCTTTCTACTTCAGTATCTGTGAGTTCATATTAGCTTTGGTTGATCAATTTAGAGGGACTTGCTCTCCTAGTGTCCTTCATCCACTTTGACTCTTACAGTCTTTCTACCTCTTCTTCTGCAGGGTTCCCTGAGCCCTGAGGGAAGGGATTTGATGGAGACATTTCATTTAGACTTGTACCTGTGTGTTCTAAGATCTGTATGTGTCCTTCCCCCCCCCCCCCCATGTCTGGCTGTATGTCTCTCTGTTTGTTCCTATTTGCTGCAAGAGGAAGCTTCTCTGATGGTTAAGTAAAAGAACATCATTAGGTATAAAGGGACAGGGGGACACATGGGTCTCCCTGGGAGGAGGAAATAGAATAGATTTTATGAGTGAAGGATGGGAGTGGGAGGATCAGGTGGGGATGAGGAAGGGAAGTGGGGATAAGGAGGGAAATTTGAGGAGAGGCAGGTAGAATTGAAGAGTATTTGAAGGGTAATATGGAAACCTAGTGCAGTGGAAACGTCCCACAATTTTTGAAGGTAATTCTAATGAAGTCTCCAAATGATGGTGGAGACCGAGTCTCAGTTGACTATCTCTTGTCACCAAAAGAAGCTTCTAATATGAGAACTGGGATAATTGAGTTGTTTGTCAAAGGGGTCCCATGGAAATTCCCCCAAACAACCTAGCTTGATGCCAAGACAATAGGTTGCTCCCCACAAACTGACAGTGAGGCCCCA